AGCAGGAAGAAATTAAATTTGGTGCAAAATAGCAACATCTGGGTGAGATTTTGTTTGTCAGACTTGCAGTCCCTTTAGATGCCAGGCTAAAAATACTAAAATTAACTTTGAAGGTTTTCACATCTGTGTTTTTAATATGAGCGGTTAGGATGGGTTTCCATACCAACACATTACCCTGCTCTAGAGAGTGGTGCAAGTACCCATCCTCAGTGCAGGATCCCCAGCAGACAGTGGGGTCCAACCCGACGCCAGACACACATGGAGAGCTTTCTCCCCTGCCAGACCACACCTGTGAGAGCTGGCATCGCTCTGAACTATCCCACTCCTACAGTCCCAACTCCTGAAGCCACGGGGCAGCTGTCCCCAGCTTCAAACCGAGCAGGACCTGCAGGAGATGCTTAGGGACCACAGGGGCTCTGATGGCCGTCACGAGGGCCTCTTCCCGAACCGCTCCAGCATCCTCCCCTTAGCTGAACACAGCCTGCACAGCCCCGGGCACGCACAGCAGCAAGTGTCCTGACCTGCAGCCAGCTGCCATAGCCCGCACCTTGGCAACGTGGGAGGAAGCAAACAGCACGCTGGTGGGGCTTGATTTCAGACATCACACCCCAGCGCCAGCTCCCTTAGCGATGTCCTGAGACAGAAGCCTGTCCACTACCATGAGCAGTGCAGACACACAAGATATCAGACCACTGTATGTTGGGTCAAAGAGTAATTTCTATAGCTGGAACAGCCTCTGGCACTGCAGCCGTCAGAATACTCTTAAACAAGCAGCAATCAAAAGATCCACCCATTTTAAAAAAGTCTACAGACTTTGAGACTAAATTTAAAGTTAACAAAAAGTACATGATTTTCAAAATCTAATGTCCATGTCCAAAATACTTTATATGGGCGAGTTCCTCAATGGCTCCAGCTAAGAATTCCTCTTCTACAATGGGATTGCAAAAGATCTTTAAAATTAGTCACAAACTTTTTTAGAAGCAGAAGCGGTCAGTAATTCTTCAGTTAAATGTTTTTCTTCCCCACCACCACAAAGAATGGCAGTTCAGTACGCCAAGGCTTTTCAAAGTAACATCAGCTCCAAACCCCTGCACAGGGAAAGGGCTCTCACAGCCAGGACAGAAATCACAGTTAAAAAACAAAAGGGGGAAGAAGTGGAAAACAAACAAACAAAAACAGAGCAAGGGATTCATCTCTCTCCAGAAGAGGCAGAAAGTTCAGAGCTAGAGCACTCAACTGTGCTACACTAGGCACAGCCCGTAGTAACACACAATAAAAACTCTCATGTTACAATGTTTTTGTGAAACTGTAGGGGAGGAGGTAGACACTTCGAATTCTGGCCAGGTTATTCACCATTGCTGAAGCCAGTCCACATTTCCAATGCCTAGGAAACACAGAATCACAGAATGGTAGGGGTTGGAAGGGACCTCTGTGGGTCATCTAGTCCAACCCCCC